AATAATTCGTAATTTGTGTGATCAGTTCAATGTACCTGATAGCGCTTTATCTGGCTTCAATATTGGTCATTTTGTGGAACAAGCAATCAAAGTTGAAGCTAGAGAAATACCTTCGTTAAGAGTACATTCTTATTGTGTTATCACTTATGTATTCGTAAACTTTTTTTTTTGTTTTAAATTTATTATATTTTTAGAAAACACGGCGACAAGAAATTTATGATGGTGACGAAAATGGCAAGTTCATTTTTCTTATTTTGTTTGCTAAAAAATTAAATGATATGCATTCAGTAAAGTTTATAATTTCCAAAATCCTTTGCAGAATCTTTTACGAAAGTTTCTATAACTATATCAGAAGGAGAATCTGAGTTTCCATCCGAAAATGAACCGGAACCTCCACCCATACCAGTGGAAGAAGTGGAACCTGAATCTCCACCTATATCAGTGGAAGAAGTGGAACCTGAATCTTCACCCATACCAGTGGAAGAAATGGAACCTGAATCTCCACCTATATCAATGGAAGAAGTGGAACCTGAACCCACACCCGAATATGAATCAGAACATGAACCAGAGGAAGAAATTCCTCCATGCGAACCGACATCCCTACCTGAACCAACACCAATAACTGTCGAATTAGAGCTTATACCAGATCCTGAACTATGTCTGCTGAAGTTGTCGCAGGAAATGGAACGGATTCCATACATACCTGAAATACCGGAACTGACAGCGCAAGAACCACTTGAAGTTTTGGAAAGAACAAAGAAACCAAAACAAAACACCTCAACTCAACGGGTACATTAATTGCTTTATTGATTGAGTATTGCTTTTTTATTTGTTTGATTGACTTTTGTTTTGAAATTTTCAGTAATATCATTTTTCTATAAGTAATAATTAAAATTATATTTGCAGGGAGGAAAGACTGCTAAGGAATGTAAGTTTCAATTGAACCTATTCCATATGTTACATTATTCAAATTAAATTTTTAGAATTTTTGAACCAAAAATAATCTTTACGCCATAAATCAGGTAAAAAAACTTGAAACAGATCTGCGAAGAAAATTTTACTTTTCAAGGCATTTAAAAATTCAAATGAATTTTAATAAAATTTTTGAATATCAAATTCAATTACAATTCTGATTTATGAAGTTATTCTAAAAATCTATAATTAAGCAAATAAAAATCAATGAATAAATTTGAAACATCGATAAAAATTAAAGTTTGTAAATAATTTATTGAAACTTATCTCAATGGCTAATGCATCATGTGTGATAACGTTAAGTTATACATTATTTCTTCGCTTTTCACGTTGTTTAGTTCGGATAAGTAATAGCTAAAATTTGAAATTGGTCAAAATTAATATTGTTTTAAATTGATA